GCCCTGTCGCTCGGGACAGTGGCTTCTGCCTTCACAGGGTGTGTAACGGTATCTGTCCTGGCCAGTCCCAAGGCCTTGCGGGAGGAGGCCGGCCTGCCTCTTTCTAAGATTTAGTCTGACTTCGTGCTCGTCTCAACTGTCCTGTGTTTATTATAGTCCAGGGCAGAAGCTTCTGCAACTTCAGGGCTTCTGCTAAACTAACCTGATTTGTCCAAATCACTCCCCAACTACCATTGCTGACTCAAGCTTCCCTGCATAGAACCCCTCGGTTTCCTGACAGACCTCTTTCCTGGAATGGGCTTCGGCGCACGTGCTCCTTGTACCCGTGCAGCCTCCCTTGGGTTGTGCAGTCAACTAGAGGGTCAAGGGAGCAGTAGCCTGGCTCCTGGCCTTTGCAGGAGCTGCCCTTGGCCAAGTGGGGCTTCAATCTTCAGGTGGACTCATCTGAAACCCACCGCCAGCCCGCTCTCGGGGCCCCCTGCCAGGGACTGGAGCAGGAAAGGGATGTCCCTTCCACGTGGAGACTGCCCTGTTCTCCCACGATCACTCCTTTGGGCTTAGAATTTTAAAATGAACTTCCTAAGGGGGAAGATCCTTTAGAACAACGAGTCGGGGGAGACGGTCCTGTGCTCCGAGAGGAAGGGACACAGCCGCGGGACTGGGGTGCGCTGATCCTTCGGGCTCCAGACGTGTCTTCCAGCTCAGGAAGGAGACTGGACAGCTTAGCGTGCAGGGGAGGGCCCAAGGAGAGGTTGTGATTTGGTCGAAGGGGCCTGGTTTCGTGCTGTAATTGTCTTTTTTTATATATATATTTCTTGGAGTAAACATTTTAAATAAACGACATCATTGTTTACTCTGTTTTGGCTTCTGCACTTCTTTTTCAGCGGAATGAACATAAGAACACGGAACGGCTTCTTGCGTGAGCCCTTCCTGCCCCGGCCCGGGCTCCCACTCTGGGCCCCAGGGAAGCGGGTCGTTTTGGCTTCTAGGCTTGAGCCCTGCTGGGGTTGGGAGGTGAGTGGAGCTCCCAGCTCTGTTCCTGGAAATGTGTGACCCTCAGGGAGGCTTCAGCACCCCCATTGGCCCAACTCAAAACATGGAGTTTTTCATATTCATCGCATGTCATATTCCTGGGGCTTTGAGAGGGGGAGACGCGGAAGGCACCTGAAGAGGGCTACACAACGTGTGCCTTCCCCGCCCTCCTCCACCCACTCCTCATAAGGGAGCCCTGTTGGCACTTCAGCGCTGGCCACAAATGTGCCCCTTCCAGGCCGCCCTGGCCCCTTACTGGCAGTGTGGCGAGCTGTCCACCGGGGGGCACCAAGCAGCCAGCCATGGGTTCAGAGGCCCCAGGCCTTCTCTGTTCTACCCGAGTTGACAGCCTTTGCTCCAGGTCACCAGCCACCAGCATGCCGACACCGGTCCAGTTTGTGGAGCCTCTGGGATGCCGGCTGCTTTATGTCATCAGATCAGCCCCTCCCATAGGCACTGCCCCATTCCACGTACCTGGACTGCTTGGAGCTTCCCGTCGGCAGGAGGAGGGGCAGGGTGGGAGCAGCTGTGGTTAAACCTCAGGATCATTTGACTTAATAGCATTTTTGTGCCATAAACATAGGGGTGGGCAGAGATAGGCAATAGGCGGCTTTGGGTCCTAGAGTGGGTGTTCGTTTCCTCTCCCCTGGACACTTCGGGCTTAACAGGGGTCCATGCAGGCCTGCCTGTCGCAGCTTGCCCTTCAGGGTCTTACACCTGCTGACCAAGGGGACTAGAGCCTCTGCCTGCTGATGCCCGCTGTCCACAAGGCACGAGAGTCACTGTTCTTCGGGCCTGGCCTCCTGCAGCTCCTACCAGGCCGAGGGGGAGTCCTCTCCCTTCCCCAAGCCTAGAGTCTGTCACAGTCACAGCTCAGGCATCTACGTCCAGCTCATCAGATGCTTGAACTGGAGAAGAATTTGCATCATCCGAGCCCAACCACTTCCCGCTGCACGCAAAGACCTTGAAGACGAGGGACAGCAGCTCCATGGTAGCCTGGTCCCCTGCCCCTCCCCGTGGGACAGCCTGACCACAGGTGTCCCAGGTGCTCCGCTTTCCATCCTTAGCCATTACCCCCTGCCCCGAAATGAGGAGGCCGCGGCCAAAATGCAGTGAGAACAATTAGAGCTTTAATGGACATTCAGTAACCTCTCAGTGACCATTTTCCATCTTTTCCCAAGGGGCTCAAGCTGCCGATATTGCCACCCCACTGAATGCTGAGGGACGGGGGTGAACAGGGTGAGTAAGGGGTGTAGTACCCTGACTCCAGGCCCCTGAGCAGGGCAAGGGTCAGACACTGTTGAGTGGTGATAGTGGGCCATTCATGCTGGGGCAGGGCTGGCAGCACTAAGACGGGTCTAGGGCACCATCCTCCACCATTTGAAGGCAAAGGGCACCCGGCGGATGTTGGCACAGGAGCAGAAGTCTCCGATTTCAGTCAGGTAGCAGTCAAAGTCGTTAATGAAGGTGCAGTGGAATCCCAGGGGCTCTAGCAACTGGCGGATCTTTCCCTCCAGGCAGCAGGTACCATTGATCTGGGGCCCAAAAGGCTTGGGGATGCCCAGGTTCTGGCCCATCACGATCATCTGCAGCTGTCAGAGAGGCAGTTAGGATGAATCGGGGTCAGAGCCGTGGAAGAAAGGCCCCTGCCCCTCTTCTAAGGAAGGAAGGCCACTGGGCTTATTGCAAGGGAAAAACCCAGCTGCCTCTGTGGTTGGGCTAGACCAGGAAAGACAAGCACAGCGTACCCCTTCTCCAAGCCTGTGCTCAGACGGACATCGCCAATCCATCCGATCAAACTCCACCCCGCTCTGCTTAACCGTCCAATGACTCCTGATATATTTCTCAATAGCAAAACCAAAATCTTGCCCAGCTGAGGTCTACCAACTTCCCTGTTCCGTCCTCTACTGCATTTCTCTTGTCCTGGCCTTCTAGTCTTGTTTGTGCCATAATCTTGCCTACCTCTACTGGAATGCTCTCTACCCCCGGCTTTGCCATTGGACTTCTGTCCCATTTTTCACGTCTTAATTCTAGCATCTCTTCCTCAAAAGCAGCTTCTCCCACCATTACCCATACCTCCCTACTCCCAGGGCCTATGTAGCCTCCTACTGCATGCTCAGAGGGCCTCAC